AAAATTAATTTTTAAAAAGAAACATAGCCCTTGAGTTTACTACTATTTACGATGACATCCCATTGGCATTTATTATTTAGATTTTCAAAATTAAATCAAAGATATTAACCTAAACAATCATTGCCAAAAGATCTCTACAAAATATATTTATTAGCCATAACTATCCTTGCTACAATTACATCCATACTGCATTGTTATAATATTTATTTACTCAAAAATATCATTATTGACATATATAAAATTATTTATATTATTTAAAAATATTATAATAAAATGCAAACAACAAAAGAAATTAAATTTAAATCCGCCATACATCGTTACTTAATGAACTGTATGTTTTCATTTCTATATTTTAAAAATTGAAACCTAAAACATACTAATCGTACACTCACACTGAATAATATATAGATATATATGTACAATTTTTTTAAAAAATATAGGTTATATCTGTAGATAAACTTCAAAAGATTTAAATTTCGACTTTTAAAAATAAAATATAGCCCCGCGGTGTACCGCGGGTCAATTTCTAGTAACAAATAAAAATACTACACTCATAAAAATAAAAATAAAGAGAATAGAGACGAATATAAAATAAATTATAAAAATATACAGATGAGAAATACTATGTAGACTAAGAATAAAAAAAATAAGAAAATCAAAATTTTAAATATAAGTAAACAAAAATAAAAATTAATAGTATCATATATGTTTCTTTACGAAAATATTAAATACAACATCACATGATTTCTTGCAATGTATACTAAAACGAACTTAAAAAATAAAATAAAACTAAATTAACAAACTTTAAAATATCAAATGTTAAATATACCCGAGCGTGGATATAGATTCCTACGACATTAGAGAATTTTCCCACGGTTTCTATCAATGCGAATATGGATCATCTATTCTGGAGGACCCCCCCAGAAATAGATACATTTTCGTATCCATGGATAATTTGGTATATCTGTAAACCGAGAAATGATAAGATCTATGAAAATATGGATAAAAACTCATTAGAGGTTATACCTTTAGCGAAAAATGACGCACAAGTGTGGCAGTTAGCTCAAGTCGAGCTACATACTGTAAATAACAGACCATTGGAAACGGATAGTCGAAATCAGGAAAGATTAAGTATACATGTGCCAAACAATTATGGATATCAATGCTACATTGATGGATTATGGAAAGAAAGTGACAAATTTTTCAGAACATGGTGATGTGCAAATGATCCAATGTGCAAATATTTAAACGGATAATTTGGCACAGAAAGTTCGTACTGAACCGTATTATATTATCTATGTAAATAAGGGATAGCTCTTTTGAGCCAAATCAATTAAAGATGTTGACAAAAAAATATATACCCGGTATAACAGGATTCCCCCTAATTATAATAAAATATTATTATAAAATATGAAAAACCCATTAGAATTGTGGACATAAATAGACGATGCACGTATATATATCACCTCGTTTTATACGTATAGAGCGCACTTGGTTTCTAGGAAAATATCCCTTAGAGTTGAGTAGTTAAGAAATTTTCTTAGAAGATTTAAAAGTGTTATGTGGGCGATGCGATATACGAGATAAAATGTTTATAAAGTATATGATGAGTAAATAAAGCAAACATAAAATGAAAAGTAAACAAAGAAAAAAGAAGAAGATTACTTTTGACACAAGATATTCAAAAACAATATAACATGACGCACGATGAATGAATCCATTAACCTTTACAATGACCAAGTGGAGAGCCGCAGAGACAGTCGTTCCCGGCAAACACACTTTCTGGAAACTTGGTCGCCGGAAGTTTCCCACAAAGATGGTTTTGACTCAAGTTTAGTGTCTTCAATCTGGCCAACCTCGCCGGCACTTTCCCGAACACTAAGTTCCTTGACAGATCAAGCGTCTCGAGCGTATTCGAAAAACTCAGCTTCCCCAAATCGAATCGGAGTTTGTTCCCCGACATTAGAAACTCCCGTAGGTACCCTTGTTCCTTCAAGAACCTCACCGGACTCCCTGAGATCTCGTTGTCTGAAAGATCGATGGAAACATAGAGATCAGTTTGCCTTGTTTTCCAATCATCTAAGTTCATCTTGATTCCACATTTAGCCAGCTTCAAAGAGGAAAGGATCGTCGCTGAGGTCACCCATTCCGGGATCGTTTCCATGTGAAACTTGTTGTACGACAGATCTAGGGTCAAGATGTCATTCTTTACGATTAAAACAGGGAATGGATCGGTTAGAAGATTGTGAGAGAGATTGATATTAGCAATTTTTGTCAGCTTGGCCAAACTCTTTGGCACGACTCCGGAGAACTGGTTCTTGGAGAGATCCAGTGTGTCGAGCTTCATGAATCTTGATAAATAGCTCGGTATCGAGCCCGAGAGATTGTTCTGACCTAGCTCCAAGAACGCAAGCACCGGCGCGAGTGAGGCTATCGACGGAGGGAGCGTCCCGGAGAATCTGTTGCGAGAGAGAGTGAGGATACGGAGCTTAGTCATGGATTTGAAAATATCCGGGATGGTTCCAGAGAGACGGTTTCCGTCGAGATTCAGATTAGACATAACCTTGAGATTAGCAATCCCTAATGGTATTGTTCCGGTTAAGAGATTACCGCCGAGATTGAGGTAGTTTAACCGAGTTAAATTGGATATGGAGCTCGGGATCGAACCGCTGAACCGGTTTCCTTTAACGGTTAATGTATCTAATCGGTTTAGCGCGCCGATGTTGGCCGGAAGAGGACCAGAGAGACGTGTATTCTCGAGGAAAACGTACTTTAGATGTGGTAATCGGAAAAGAAATGAGGGAAATGGTCCAGTGATGTTTTTGAGATTAATAAAGACGAGCCCTTCCAAATGCTGGAGTTTAGCTAGTGACGGGGAGATAGTGCCCGAGAGAAAGATTTTGGCATCATCAGACTCTATGTTGATAGTGAGTACGACGACGCGGTTGCCGTTAGGGCAACTGACACCATCCCAAGAGCAGCAATCAGTACCTTTCTTCCAGGTTTTTAGAATACCCGAAGGGTCTTGGGTTATACCTGATTTAAAGGCTAAAAGACCTGCCTCATCATCGGTATGACACCTGGCAGCTGTGGTGGGATTTAAATACCGGAGAAAGATTACGGCGGTGAAGATGAAGAGATGGTGGAAGGAAAAAGAGTTCATGGTAGTGTTTTTTTTTTTGGTAGTGAGGCTGAGAGAAGCAATAAGCAAACTGATAGCTAATAATCGAAAGAGAGATTCGACTCGACACCTATTAATAAGCAATTAGTCAAAGTTGACACATTTGGACCAATCAATTTGCGCGTGGCGATTAGGACAGTGTAAGATAATTAAATGACAGAATAAAATGTGACAAAAATAGTCGATGTTATTTTTAAAATAAAAACTAAATAGGCAAATACTACCTACCCATTATCTTATGTGAAAAGGTTAGGTTATAGTCTATAACACGATTTGACGTGTTCACATGTTACAGAAACTTTGTAGAAAAAGTATTCTTAGTAGTGAATTTTGTGGTATGATACCCATTAAACTGGCAGTAATATAATCGGACAACGTTTGGCATGTGGGAAAGGAAATACAAATGAATTCAAAAAGGTTTCGCTGGAGCCTAGAAGCTCAATATATATATTATATATAAATGAAAAACAAAATCACTAAAAGCAAAAGAGAAAGGAGGGAAGAATATTAAAACGCAAATTCATGTTGTAGATGATTGATTTACAACTTGTTGGTTGTGCACTTGCAGCATGTCGTTGTGTCTATTTGAGGAGTGAACCTAGAAATCTAATTAAAAGTCTCATCGCACAAAAACTCTCAAGAAATACCATGGATCGATATATTGAAGAGATAAATTAAAATCATTTACATCTTTATATTTGGTACGCATGTCGTACTGTTACACTTGTGGTCAAGAAGAGCACTACCCGAATATACCGGCTTATGTGGTTTGTATCTTGTGCGGAGAGTGGAGCCATTAAGCTACTTCACTACAAGAAAACACGGTATAAACTGACGGTTTTACTGACGGTTAAATATCCGTCGGTAATTACCGACGGAAAACTGATCGTTGTTTGACGGATCGCTTCCCGCCGGTTTACCGTATGTAATTTACTGACGGCATATTTTTCGTCGGTAATTTTGTTTAATTTCTGACGGATTACTAAGGGATAGTTACCGATAATATATCCTATCAGTAATCGGTCAGAAAATATATCCGTTTGTGTAACCGTTAAAAGTTCAAACAAACTAAAGGTAATTTACTGACGGCAAAATATTCGTCGTTAATATTTTCTATTTTCTGACGGAATACTGATGCGATTATTACCGTTAATTTATGCTGTCAGTAATCGGTAAAAAAATATATCCGTGATTATAGCCGTTTTATAGCCGTTTTAAAGTTCAAACATACTGACGGAAAACCAACAGATTACTGACGGATATGAGATGTCTTTTTTCTATAAATACCCAAACTCACTTCATTCTCATCATCTCACTCATATTCACTCTTTGTTTTAAAAAAATCTGAAAATGTCTTCTTCTTATTATTTTCGATCGTGGATGGATGAACCAATGCTAGATCCGGAGTCGCACGAATTGAGATATGAGTACGCCCGTGGTGTAGGCGAGTTCATGGATTTAGCTTGTGAACAACCTAGTGCCAAGAAAACCCGTAAGTTGAAATGTCCATGTTCGATTTGTCGAAATTCTCATAATATAAGGATTGATTTAGTATGGAGTCATCTTTATTCCAATGGTTTTATGCCGGGTTACAAGATTTGGTTTCTTCATGGTGAAAGACCCAAATATTCTAGTGCTAGCGAACCATATACTGCTGGTAGCGTAGAGGAACCTAGAACAGAAGTACATTATGGTTGTAGGTACTGTTCAGATGGTGAATGACGCATATAGGGAAAATATGCATTCTGTGGGCGAAAATGTTGATAGGTTAGAGGAACCTAATGCAGAAGCACAAAAGTTTTTTTTCTATGTTGGACGCAGCTAAACAACCACTATATGGAGGATGTAGAGCAGGTCATTCGGCTTTATCATCTGCAAGCAGATTGATGACCATAAAGACGGACTATAATTTGGCTGAGGAATGTGTGGATGCGATTACAGATTTTGTAAAAGATATTTTGCCTGAAGATAATCAATTTCCAGGTACATATTATGAGATTCAGAAGTTAGTTGCCAGTCTTGGTTTGCCGTATCAGATGATAGATGTATGCGAAGACAATTGCATGATTTATTGGAGGGAAGACGAAAATCGGACTAGATGTCGATTTTGTCGTAAACCAAGATATCAACAAACTGGCGGTCGGGTTCCTGTTCCACATAAGCGGATGTGGTATTTACCGTTAACAGAAAGGTTGAAGCGGTTATATCAAAATACACTACGAGCAGAGTGGGTTCCTACATAATTGAACCCGAACAAAGCTCTGTTATTATTATGCAAAAAGTTTAAAACGGGAAAGAGACTTAGTTAGCTCATCACACCACATAGTTTCAATCAATGCTTAGAAGGATCAAGAACTTGACCCATGAACAAGATCACTCCACTCTTGTCTTCTCTCACCGTGAACAAAAATGGATGGTCAGCTACAAAATCCGGATTCCTCCTCAAACACATGAGCATTACGACGCCAACAGAGACGGCTGCAGCTTCGGTTCCCTCTTCATCCACCTCAATGCAAGCTTTATGAAGAATGCTTGAGACGTACAGTTTATCACTTTTGGAAGGCGAATCAACCATCTCAGTTAAATTACCTCCAGAAGTAAAAGGCAAAGTCAGCCCCATGTCTTTCAAAACATCTGAAGCTTTAAACTCAAAAGAGAAGTTAAACTTCGGGATTCTGAAAGCATCTACTGATATACGGTGGAGTGGAATATGGTTATCGAGAAATCCTGGTTCAGAGCTTATTTTCTCAAGGAGAGCAGGTAACCCATCATTATCATTAGGAAGATAAATGTACATTGAGAATTGACGTTGATCCTCTACATAAGGGAGGCGCAAAACTTGGAAACCATCGTAGCCTCTAAGATATTGGTCCTCATAACTGATCATGAATGGGACTTTCACTGTGTTACCATCAAGAAGATGGAAATCGTTATCATTTGTCAAATTTGCATCAAATTTTCTGTTCCATGCTGCTTTGAAGTACACTGCATTTGCTAGAATAAGTGTGCTGCTACGGATAGTCTCGATAGAATCACGTGATAGAATTTTTTTGATGAGTCCATTGGTGTTGACTTCCGCCCATGTATTCACTTCATCAATCACATCACCAGGCTTCAAGATATAGCACCAAAATAGTGATCAATCATTCCAAACATTTATGTAATATATGGGTCATAATTAAAGCCAATAATCTAAATCAGCTAGGTGTTTCCCTCTTAACCATTGTAAGTTCCACAATCTATCCCGGCTATTTAAAACCAATAACAAAGGAAAATAAAAATAGCCTTGTAGGAAAACTTATACCAATAATAAAATAAAAATAAATATTAAAGCAAAATTTATCAATAACAAAGGAAAACGTACCTTGGTTGCAAAGTCAACTTGACTACAAGTAGCCTTGTAGGAGTTCTCCAAAAGCTCTTTATAGGAAGACTTCAAGGAGACAGACTTGTCGATCCAGACACCGTTAGCCGCAGATAAGCACAAATCACTTCTCTCGGGGCCGCTGTCGGAGATCTTGGCCAAGACTGCGTTAAGGTGATCCGTTGACGGTGACATGAGGAATGAAAGGATTTCTTCTTTGGTGTTGGGGCTAGAACCAGCGGCAATGAGGCTGAGCAAAACGTTGATTGACATCGGTGAAAAGACAAGATTGGAGCCATTGGCCTCGGTATCAATGACTTGTTTGGCCAGTCTTACCACAACGTTGTTTTGATTCTCAATTGATTTTCCTAACTCCATCTTTTTTTTTTCACAAGAGGTGGGGAAGAATGGTTCTGAATTTGCAGATGTGATGATTGATGGAATAGTTTGTTTCAAATAAACTATTAGAAATTTTGTACACTCCTCTGACTCATCACCCCAACAGACAATTGCCCAATAAATTTTGTTTTAAATTACTTTATGCAAATGACTACACAAACTAATATTTTTTTAATCAACTAGGAATTCAAGAGTTAACTTTTATGTACATCATCTATATATTTAAAAAAAGAAAAATTAATGCTTATGTGTCTATCCCACAATTTTGTTAACAATATTTTTTTATTTTTTTTAATTCTACTATCTTTGTTACCAAAAACACTCTAGATTCCAAATATGAAAATCCTATTTATCTTTATTTTTTAATTAATTGTAAAAAAAAGATAAAGTTACCAAATTTAGATATGGGATTTTTGGCAAATGTACCACAATTTTCAAAATCTTTAGCAAATGTACTACAATGGAAATCAATTTAGCAGCTGTACCACTTATGTGTGGTAGTTAGGTCTGTAAACGGAGCGGATATCCGGTTTTTTTAAGATATCCGTATCCGTATCCGTATCCGCATTATTCGCCAATTTAGTATCCGTATCTGGATCCGGAATTCCGGATATCCGTTGAAAATCCGGATATCCGGAAATAGTGTTTTTTTTTTTGGACAAACCGGAAATAGTATTTTAAAATCCTAAATTCATTAATATCAAACAAAAAAAGCTTAAAAATTCATAAAATTGCTAGAAGTTGATTATACATACAAAACATTACAAAAACAAAGAATTTATTAAAGTAGCAAAAACTTTAAAAGATTTAAGTGATGTTCTTAAAAAAAAGAAAGACATTAATCAACTTCTTAAATCCTTCTTAAAAATTTCTTTTTATTTTTTGTCATATGATTTATTTATTAACATTAAGAAAAAAAACAATTAAAAAGTTGGCTTCCAAACTTTTTTGGGCTTTAACACTTGAAAAATGGACTCATAAGACATTTAAGGTTTTTTTTTTTGTTTTTTTTTTTTTGTGCCGGATATCCGTTATCCAGCCCAAATTTTTGGATTATCCGTATCCGTATCCATATCCGGAATATCCGTCATTTTACTATCCGTATCCGTATCCGTTTTGCCGGATATCCATTTTTTTGGATCAAAAACCAGATACGGATATGGATATCCGCGGATAGCGGATATAAATCTCAGGCCTAGTGGTAATGTGGTATTTTATGGACAATTTTACTCCTAAAAGATGTGCAGTTTTGTGTCAGATAAGAAGGACAGCTTTGTGTCAGAAGGACAACTTTGTGTCAGAGAAGAAGGACAAAACATTGTATTAAATTCAGTTTACATTTACCATGGATAATAATTATGAAATAGAGTGAATGATGTCCCACAAAAATAAGTTGGCGAATAAAACCATACCATATGATGATGGACAACCATCATATCCAGGTGTCACCGAATTTAACATAGTGTTGAATTTAAAAAGGATTATATAAAGAGAACATAACTTGTTCTCAATATAATTCTATTACTCATTCTATCTAAACTTGTCCTCATAAATATATTACTCATCATTATTAGGGAAAACTATCAATAATATCACTTTATCAGGGACAAGTTTAGATTGAATCAATAGTAAAATTAGATCGGAGACAAGTTCCAATCGAATGAGTAATAGAATTAGATTGAGGACAAGTTCAGATTGAATGAGTAGTAAAATTGGATCGGGGACAAGTTCCAATCGAATGAGTAATATTATATCGAGGACAAGTTTAAATCGTTTCTTTGCCTTTTGAGAATTATTTTAAGGGTGAGTTACATAATGACACACTTTTCTCTAGTTTCATATCAAAAGAGACACATTCTATGTTTTTCAACTTTTTGGTACTGTTCAATTCAAATCAATACCAAAATACCCCTGAAATAGATATTATGTGTAAAGAAAAACGTTGACATAGAAACATACATAGCAAACTCTTCATCTTTCCTTCTCCTTCCACGTCACTTTTCTTTCTCTCCTTCTCTTCTTTTTTTTTTTTTTCATTTTCTTTTTATTATCATTTTAATTACTTAATATAACATATATTGTCTATTTTTTTATATAAGAAATTAAGATTTAATTTTTCATACATTTTAAGATCCATTGTTGCTATGTTTTAAGTAAATAATTATATTATATATTATCCATTTCCGATTGAACATTTGTTTATTATTAAATGGATATTAAAAGGTACTTGAAAAGACCTATTATACCAATATTTATAAGTACTGATCATCCGTTAAACTCTGACCACATGGACGAATAAAGATAAAAAATTTCGGTGTAATATACCGAACATCCGTTAAACTCTGACTAAACATATCCGTTGGAGAAGGAACAAGTGTAGGTTGGAGATGAAATAGCCTTTGTTTCATGACTAGGATTTGGTAAGAAATGTATTGCTTTGAACATCCATATATTCAAATCCATCATCCAAATAGGTTAATACAGAATGTGATTAAGCATTGAGAAATGTAAATGTATTAAGGGCCTTGGGAGTGTGGAAAGCTTTTAAAACTAGTCTAGTGAAGACTAATAAAATTGGTGGTTTGCTTCTTGATTCCTTTGAGGTCATCAACAACACGAGTTTCTCCGATTTAATATAACTCCTAGATAGAATCAAATGGATCCCGAACTCGAGAATTGGAGGGGAAAAGAGAAAAATCCGGTTTAATGTAATGCCATGATTATATGTCCACACAATGAGTTTCGATTTCAATGATCTTAGGAACTCAATACATAAACATACCACTTCACAACTATAATCGTGTCCATAATTATATGTCCACATGATAACTTATATAAACCATCAATTCGTTCATATCCATTAGCGCATAAATTCATTCATCCAAACATCTACACCACTTTTACCATAAGCACTTATTCTGTCTAAATTAGAGTAATGGTTGAAAAAATAGAGTAATCTTTCATGCTCAGTTAGAGCCTAAAGCATGATCTTGTTGTTTCCAGACATCATATTGTCATGTGTTTTGGTAACTATCGTAAGTACTACGATGAACAAGTGCTTATGGTAAAATGGACAAGTGTTTATGGCCGAATCTAAGTGGATGATCTGAAAGTGTTTAGAGAACCTTAAATTCATTATGGTGCTGCTGGTTGTGATGGTGTCCCAAGCCTGCAACAAGTCTTGATAATTTTCAAATAGCCGACAATACATATGGTCTTCACCAAGCACGTACAGTTACTCAAAACCTACTTATATTTGTGATTTTTCAAGCTAGTTATTTATGGATACAGACAAGTGAATGGTTAGGTATAGATGTATGTGTGAACGTATTAGATAAAGGAATGAACGAAAGAATAGTTAAAAGAAATAATACATAATGTATCCATATGGAACTGACCAATCCTATCATGCCCATATAAAATTTACCAATCCAATTCAAACGTATGGACACACATTTGCTAAGACTATGATCAAACAATCAAAATCGAATCGATAAAAAACACAAGAATTATACATTCTCATTAGAAGTCCACCAAGAGATCGAAACTTGTTCGGTATCTCTTCTCTCGTCAATCTAATATCCGATGAAGTAGAAGTAGCTAACATTATAGTAACAACAGCAACAACGAACTGTCGATAATCCGTAAAACTTATCTCTACATCAAAAAAAAAAATGTGATATCAATAAATGGTTTAAAGAACATGATCTTGAGATAAAAGATCTCTTTCTTATTGTAGTTACCTTTAGTTAGAGCAAGAAGAGAATCAGAGGAACTTAACAAAACCAACTCTTTAGAAACAGAATGGTCGGGAGAGATTGTAGCAAGGAAGTACTTCAAGTAATGAAAAGGAGTGATTAAGTTCATTTTCCAATCCAATGTTGATAGAGCCAACAATTCGGTTTAACGAATGACATCGGGTTTGAAAACGAAATCATGATCTTCAAGGTATTGTGATAATCCAGGAACAATTCGTTCCTCCATTTTCGCAGCTAATGATAACTAATCTACTGATAAGAATAGAATCGCCCATGTTTCATCTCTCTGCAACTAAAAAAAGAAACCATCTTTAATCTGAAGAAAAAAAGGAAAGAACTTTTATTTGATTGTGAAATTGGAAATTGGAAATAATCAACACTTACACCGATGAATCTTCTTTGGAGAAACAGATCCAAGTATGAGATTGGAATGTAAGCTGTTTGATGTTGGAATCCAAATCTTGTTCTTGTCCAAAAAAACAAAACCAATCAAACAAGTGAGATTAAGACAAAGGGTTGGGTTGTCGATTAAGAGGGTTGCTTTGTTTAGGGCTGAGTAACTAGAGTTTCCTCATGTTCAGGGTATTTACATCTTTATACACACATAAAACTTGTGAGAAAGAAAAAGTGTGCTAGAATGATAGATAACTTGAGAAAGTGTGTAAACGGGTAAATATCTCTAATTTTAATTGTATGATTCAAGGGAAAAGAAGAGAGATAGATGTAATATATTTAGAGAGAGAAAAAAAAGAGAGAAGAAGAAATATAGAGAAAAAAATAAAACAAAATAAAGAAATAATATAATAGTATAAAGTAAAAAAAAAAAAATTAAGGGTAAATTAGTCATTTTGTTTAGCAATGTGGTAGGTTTGAAAAAGGAAAGGGAGAAGTGGTAGATTTGAAAGAATTTTGATAAAAATATGGTATAGGTGCTAATTTTCTCTGTAGATATTTCGAATTAATATTAAAATATATCTATACTAGTATTTTTGAAGTACATTTTTTGTGGGTAGGTTAAATTATTTTCGGATACAAATGGATCTGATCCAACAAAAACTTTACTACATAAAAAATTAGTTGGATCGGATTATATTTAACCCTAACTCCGCCGCCGGTATTTGCCTAAAAGTCGGATACAAATATTACCAAAATTGGATCGAGTCCACAAATTACGTTAGTATATTTAATAATAAAGATATTTAGAAAATTTGGTTCTGATATAAATTCATGATTCTTTTTTCATCTTTGTTTGATTATTTTTTAACTGTTTTGAATAATCATATAATACAATTTTTTAAGAAAA